ACCAGGAGCTGTTTGCAGATCACAAAGTTATCGGAGAACTACGTGGGTGAGATTTGAAAGATTAGACAGGGGGGCCAGAGAACCGGGACACAGGCTTTATTGGAGGAGAAGGACCCTGCTGGGCTGTCTTCCAGAGGGAGGAAGAGCACACGTGCAGAGGTGAAGGCGCCTTTTGAGGGGAGGAATGGGAAGGGATGGGGCTTAGGGCACTCACACGCGCTGATTGGTGGTTCCATACAAGGCGCATGATTAGGCACTTAGGTACTTAGGAATCAGGGGCTTAGGGTGTTTGGTGGTTCAATGTATAGTTCATGTAAGGTGCCTGGTTAGGTGCTCAGGAATGTCCAGGCTGCAGGTGCAGGTTACGTCATGCTCCACCCATCAGTTGGGGGGAGAAAGGATCTAATAGGATTCACCCAGTGCTCACGGGAAGACCTGAGATGGCATCAGAGCCTTCTACGACTCGCTCGGGGATGAGGAGTGATATCCAAAGTCCCGTCTCCCCTTAAACCCGACTTGAAGAATGTCCGGCCAGGGCTTCCGTAGAGCGAGAAGGGAGGAAAACTACTAGTAATGGTGAGTCACCAGTAGTCCCTAGGCTGGCAAACAGATTTCGTGATTTCTTAGCAAACGTATGGGCCTTTTAAGAGGCTTTGGAAAAATGTTTTTATTGACTTCAGAGGCAAAAGGGAGAGAAACATCAATGATGAGAGAGGATCACTGATCAACTGCCTCCTGCACACCTTGCACTGAGGATCGAGCCCGCCACCCCGCGCACATGCCCTGACCCCGGGAATTGACCATTGACCTCCTAGTTCCTAGGTCGATGCTCAACCACTGAGCCACAACGGGAGGACTTCAGAGAGTTATTTTAATGGAGACGGAAAATTTACCCATTCAGTAAACCACAGGTGACTTGAGTTAAACTGATTGGCTTAGATAAGTTTCATTTCTCAGAATTTGTATTTTAACCCTTTGTACGCCTCAAGCATCTGTAAATGCTTTAAAAACCGTTTTGTGTTTTTTTTTTTTTCATGAGAATTTCCAACGGAAAAATATGAAAAAATACCCGTATTGTGAGTAATATATTTATTTTTATAATATTCGTTGCAAATTGACTTTTTAAAATTAAATTCAAAATACCGTGGCATGTGGGGATGGTTTCCGTGTTGGATGCCTGGCAGTTAACCGGTTAACAGATTATTAAGATAAGCTTATTGGAAACTAGATACTATTATTATTACAAAGGCAGACAGTTTCTTTGTTGTTTTTTGCTTTTTCCTCAATCCGTGGGGGTCTCGCTTCCTGACACATCCTCAAAATTTTGGCTCCGATAAACCCACAAAATTTGCGTGCAGGTTTGGGCCAAGTTTTGTTGACAGGGATGAGGCTGAGGTGGGGGTGGGGTGTGTTGGGCTTGGGGATGATGGCTGATGGGGGGGCTGGAGGGTTTGGGGATGAGAGCGGACCCTCTGCTCCCCATCACCTCCCTCTGCTCATTCCCCCCCATCAGAGGCCCTCCCCGCCCAGGCCCTACCTGGCAGGGGTCCTGGCCCTGGTCCAGGTCCGCGCACATCATGTTGCTGGTGACCACGCCCGGGTAGCAGACCTCACACTCCCGGGGCCTCAGGATGGTGACCCCGAAGCAGCTCAGGCCCTTGTTGTACTTCACTGATGGGAGGAAACACCAGTTCTCCTGGGTCCAGCCCCAGTGCTCCGGGGCCCAGAGTCCACACACCCAGACTGTTCCCATCCCAGGCCCCAGCCCCCAGCCCTCCTCCCTCAGACCCAGGGGTCAAACCCCTCCTCCGTCAGACCCAGGAGTCCAGGCCCCAAGCCCCTCCTCCCTCAGACCCAGGAGACCAGGCCCCCAGTCCCTCCTCCCTCAGACCCAGGAGTTCAGGCCCCCAGCCCCTCCTCCCTCAGACCCAGGAGCCCAGGCCCCAGCCCCTCCTCCCTCAGACCCAAGGGTCCAGGCCCCCAGCCCCTCCTCCCTCAGACCCAGGGGTCCAGGCCCCCAGTCCCTAATCCCTCAGACCCAGGAGTCCAGGTCCCCAGCCCCTACTCCCTCAGATCCAGGAGTTGGGGCCCCTCAGCTTCTTAGACCCAGGCCCCCAGCTCTCTCTTCTCTCAAACGTCTTCTGTTGAAGACTCAGTCCCCAGTTTCTCTTCCCTGATGTGAAAGTCCATTCCACTCTTTCCTCAGGCCTAACCCACCTCAGGCAAGCATCCATTCGGGTTTTTAATATATTTTATTGATTTTTTACAGAGAGAAAGGGAGAGGGAGAAAGAGTTAGACACATCGAAGAGAGAGAAATATCCATCAGTTGTCTCCTGCACACCTCCTAATGGGGATGTGCCTGCAACCAAGGTACATGCCCTTAACCGGAACTGAACCTGGGACCTTTCAGTCCGCAGGCTGACGCTCTATCCACTGAGCCAAACCGGTTAGGGCCATTCGCGGTTTTTGAACACATGGTTTTTGTTGATTTTAGAGAGAAAACAAGGGCGAGGGAGAAAGAGAGAAACATCCATCAGCTGCCTCCTGCTCGCCCCCTACTGGGGATGCAGCCCAGAACCTGGACCTGCATCCTGAAGGGAATTGAACTGGTGACCTTTTGGTGCATGGCCCCATGCTCAACCACCCGAGCCACACCAGCCAGGGCTGCTCACAGTTGTTGTTTTTTTTTTACAGTGAGGGTCTGTGAGGACCCTGCTGTAACGTCTATGAAGACACCAGGACTCCAGCTGAATGCCTGGAGCCAAGCTGTCTTCCAAGGTGCAAATGGGCCTTAAACTCTGCCCCCCCCCAGCACCTTGGTCTTCTGAGCCCACCAGTGTCTGACAGCAGGAGGGAGAGGGGTGGATCGCCACCCCCGGGGGTGGATGAGGGAGGAGACGGGCAGGAAACCCCACAAAGGCTCACACAGACCACGCGTGCCCTCCGGCCCTCCTCACCTGCACAGACTTCCAGCAGCGAGAGTGGGAACATCCAGGAGCCCATAGCAGCAGCAGGAGGTGGGCGGTGGGTGGGTGTCCCATGCTGAGGCCTGGGGGAGGGAGAGCATAGGAGCCTGAAATCCTAGTAGGGTCTTGGGATTGGGAGGGGAGAGGAACAGGCCTTTTCTGAAGGGACTGAGTTAGAAGGGAGGTGGGGGGGGGGGGGCAGATTCCTGAATCCGAGGAGAGAGGAGAGGAGGGTGTCTGGGATTTTTAAGTGACCAAGGAGAAGGGAGTTAGTATCCTGGATGCCTCCTGAATCTCAGGGAAGCAGAGCCTGGGGCTCAGATTCCCAGATCGGGTCCAGAAGGAAAACGGGATCTCAGGTTCAAGCCCTGGGCCTGCAGGAGGGTCCAGAGGCCAGGGGGGCGGGGTCACCTGCTGGGTTCATCTGATTCTGATCCAGAGGAAGAGAAGGCCCCAGGAGCTCAGCTCTCGGCCTGCTTCAGGGATCTGGAGCTTTTTAACTGGAAATCCCCGCCTCCTGCTCCGCCTCCTCCTGCCCTGGGCTGGCAGAGCACCCCTGGGCTGCAGTGAGAAGAGGCTGAGGGGCTGAGGGAGGAGGGGCTGGATTCTTGGGGTCCAGAGGCAAGGGAGAAGAGCTCAGAGCTGTGACTCCTGGGTCTGACACAGAAAAGAATGGGGGCTCAGATGTCTGGGTCTGGAAGAGGCTGGGGCTGGAAGCCTAGACTCCTGGGTCTGAATGAGGAGGGGGAGGATGTCGGAACTCCTGCATACAAGGATGAGAGGGCTTGGGGACTGGACTTTGGGACTGGGGGAGGACAGGGGGGCTGCTGCCGGGAATAACCCCAAATAGAAGAAGTACAAGTGTTCTTGGTCAGAAACCTGAGGGTGGATCAGCCCTGCCCGCCGTGCCCTGAGAGGTCTGGCCTGGGCAGGCAGGTTTGGGAGGCGCCGTGACCTGGCTTCCCCTCCCCCTGGGGGTGTCAGGATCAGCCTGACAGAACCCGGGAGGCTTGCTGCAACAGGGCTGATGGGGAAAGATCTCAGGCAGGACCCACTGAGGGCTCAGGGGAGTGACTGTGCGAGGGCTCCAGGGCGTGTCCGGCCTATCTTGCCCATCCCCATCAGCTGGACCCCAGATACAAGCTAACCTACCCATCTGAGCGTCTTCCCCTGGTGGTCAGTGCATGTCATAGCGATTGGTCCAACGGTGGAACCGTCGGAAACTTAGTATATTAGGCTTTATTATATAGGATTCTTACTGATAGTAGGACAGATATTCCCCATCTCCCCCCGGCCCCCATTGGCCTCCTCTGGTAACCTTTCCCTATGGTCCCTCCAACACCCTCTCCTTGCCCTTCCTCCGTCCCACGACCAAGGCAGAAAGCAGAGAGGGCTCCATGCCTTTATTGCAAAGCCATCCACGTGATCTGAAGACCTCCAGACCCTCCCCCTCAACTCCTCCCAGATGGTCCAGGGCAGGATGCAAACCCAGGACACGCCTAAAAGCAGGGCTGTGAGGGGCGGGGCCAGACCCTCCCTGCTCGAGCCAATGGGGGAAAGTTATAGCCCTCCTGACATCATGAGGGGCGGGGACTCTGATGAAAGAGGCGGGGCCACATGGGTGGAGTCCAGAAGAGGCCTCTCATTGGGCGATGTTCTGAGGGGGCGGGGCTATTTGGTGGGTGGCCAGCCTGGGGCGGAGCCACCAGGTGATGCTGTTCCCCAGGGTGGTGCCAGTCCTTGCTGACTTCTTAGAGCCTGTACCCAGGATAGAAGTGTCTTTCAGATCTATTCCCGAGGGGGCGGAGCCTAAGGAACCAGAAGGCTTCTCCAGGATAGCTGAGGGCACTGGTGGAGGAGACCCCTGAGGCTGGGACCCCTTTATCCTACCGCCCCTTATCCTGCACCCCCCTCCGCCTCTGGTCATCCTAGGCATGACCCTTATTCTTATTTTTTAATTTTAATTTCTTTATTGATTAAGGTATCACATATTTGTCCTCAGCCCCCCATTCCAATCCCCCTTCCCTCAGGGCTCAGTGTTTTTTCATCGTCTTTCTGATCCACTTCACGTAGTGGCAAACGCTACTGTAGACGGCGGGATGCTGTGGTCGGGAGCAGAGCCCAGAGCCCCCAGACACCACACCAGCCAGAGTCCCGTTGCAAACCAGCGGGCCCCCAGAGTCGCCCTGTGGGTGGGAGAAGAGAGAGGAACTGTTAGGCCAGGCTTATCACTAGCATGCCATTGCACAGACCCCCCCAGTTTCTGCTCCCTGACACCCAGACATCCAGCTCTCCAGGCCCTCCTCCCTCAGACCCAGGAGGAAAAGCTCGCAGCCTTCACCCCTCCCTTGGACCTAGCATTCTAGGGCCCTAGTATCCTCTTCCCTCAGGACTTGGAGCTCAGACCCCTAACCCATCCCCTTGTTTAGATCCAGAAATCCTGTTGCTGGCCCCACCATCCTCTCCCAGGACCCAGTGTCTTAGCAGAATCCCCATCCTCCACCTCCTCCCCAGAGTAGACCTCACCAGGCAGGAGCCGCGGCCCCCCTCCCACAGGCCAGCACAGAGAATGCGCTTGAAGATGTGGTCTGGGTATGCCCACCGGCAGAGTCTGGGCTCCAGGATGCTGATGTTGGCACACTGCAGCGTGACTGGGAAATGCACTGTTGGGGAAGGAGGTCACAGAGGGTCAGCAACTATACTCATCTCACTCAGCACACAACCCCTTTCTTCTAAAAAGAAATTTTGAAAAAAATTGATTTCAGAATAAAGGGAGAGGGAGAGAAAGAGAGAAAGACATCAATGAAGAGAGAGAATCACTGAGCAGCTGTCTCCTGCACGCCCCCTACTGGAATTGAGCTGCAACCTGGGCATGGGCCCTTGACCAGAATGGAGCCCAGGACCTTTCAGTCTGCAGGCTGAGGCTCTATCCACTGAGCCAAACTGGCTAGGGCTGCACATACAACCCCTTTCTTAAGGAGGATCCATGGAGCCACAGCATCTGCTTCTCCAAGAAAGGAGAGGCAGCGACAAAGAGAATCGTAGCCTGAAACAGAAACAGACATTTCTGAAGAGGGAGAGAGACGCACACAGAGAGGCAAGAGACAAGAAGAGACGCGTATATATTTTACACAGAGAAAAACAGAGACCTTGGCAGGAGCTAGAGGCCTTTTAAGGGGGGAAAAAATTCTCAGCCTAACTGGTTTGGCTCTGTGGATAGAGCATTGCTCTGGAGACTCAAGGGTCCAAGGTTCGATTCCGGTCAAGGGCATGTACATTGGTTGTGGCCACATCCCCAGTGGGGGGTGTGCAGGAGGCAGCTGATGGATGTTTCCTTCTTATCGATGTTTCTAACTCTCTCTCCCTCTCCCTTCCTCTCTGTAAAAAAATCAATAAAATATATATTTTTTAAAAATTCTCAAAGGAGGCCATGCAGAAACAGAAATGGGTCCAGGGATACTCAGTGAGAAGGCCCCGAATTAAAGGGAAGGAGACACTTATAGGGAGAGGGTCATTAGTACACAGAGAGAGAAAGATTTAGAGCAGCGGTTCTCAACCTATGGGTCGAGACCCCTTTGGAGGTCAAATGATCCTTTCACAGGGGTCACCTAAGACCATAGGAAAACACAGATATTTACATTATGATTCATAACAGTAGCAAAATTACAGTTATGAAGTAGCAACGAGAATAATTTTATGGTTGGGGGTCACCACAACGTGAGGAACTGTGTTAAAGGGTCGCGGCATTAGGAAGGTTGAGAACCACTGATTCAGAGGTACTAGGTAGAGGGAGAAGGAGTTACGGCACATAGAGATAGATGTGGATATAAACACACATATATCAATATATATAATGCCTGGGTGCCAACTCAATGCATGCAGGGGCTTGGTGAGTAAAAAGAAGTGGTGTGCCAGGCACCATTGTGGTTCAGTCTCCACTCTCTCTCTCTCCAGCAATGGCCAATCTCTGGGAAATGTGGGTCCAGCATTGCCCGTTCTTTCCAACTGAATCCAAAACCTCGGCTTTTCTGTAGCATGTCCTGGGTTTCAGATGCTGGCAACAAATTCAGATGTGATTTTTCAAGACTCTCGGAAAACCAGCACTAATGTGGGAAGCCAAATGTGGCTAACAACAGGTCCTTGATTTCTGACTCTGAGAATAGAAGGCCTTATCTAGATTCTCAGATACATGTATTCTTTCACATTTAAACACCCTGAAATCAGGAGATGTCTTCCAGTAAGTGGGGTATCATAAGGGTCAGTGGGACCCCTCTCTCCCATTTTCAGTGAAGTGATGATGCACCTTGTAATTCACTAGAGGCCCATTGCATGAAGATTTCTGCAATAGGCCTTCCTTCCCCTGGCTGCAGGCACTGGTTTTCCTCTGGCACCCGGGACCCAGGCCTCCATTCTGGCTGCAGCAGGGAAGCCAAGTCTCTTCAGTCTTCAGTCTTCGCTCTGCACCTGTGCATGCAAATTAACCCACCATCTTTGTTGGGTTAATTTGCATACTCACTCCTGATTGTCTGGTGGGTGTCGTGGATGTACGGTCAATTTGCATCTTTCTCTTTTATTACTGTGGGTAGCATCTTAGATTTGATGGAATATAAGCATGGAGAGATAGATTAATAGATAGAGGGTAGACATGAAAAGGCAGAGACAGAGAAGGAGGAGGGATTTAGACCTCAGTGTGAGACATAAGGGAGTGTGCCATGGCCAAGGCTGTACCTATGGGGCTGGACACGGCCCCCCAGCCCGAGATGAGGCACTGGGTGCCCGGGGAGACGCAGGTCTGGCTGATGTTGAGGGGCTGCACGGCAGGTTCCAGGCGTGCCTTCCTGGGCAGGCGGATCAGCATGACGTCATCCCCGGGGTGGGGGAAGAAGTCCGTGACCCGGAACAGCTGCTCTGGGCCCTCCCTTTTCTGGAGGTGGTGCTCCCCGAGGCGGACCCACAGATACCTGCTGGGACAGACCTCAGGTGTTGTGTGGCTTTCCACAAGGTGTAGATATCCTCTCTGGATCCCCATCCTATGTGCAACCCAAGAGTGCTGTGTGACTTTAGGCAAGGCACACGCCCTCTCTGGGCTCCTGATCTCCCACTCCATCCCTTTGTCTGCCTCTGCTGTTGTAGTTCTCCGTCAAAAGCTCACATCATTTCCTAGGTCCATGCCAATGGAGCCACCTTCTTCATTGCCCCACCTGCAGCCTTGCTGGTGATCTGGGTTCCCTGGCACCGTGTAGGCACCCAAGGACTCCACCTACCACACAAAAACAGCCCCACCCCTGGTGGTTCTGTGGGAAGTGGCTGGTTGGTGGGGTATGGAAAATCCCCAACTTTGGGGTCATCTGTGGCTCAGGCTTTTCCTGACTGCCATACAGCTAACCCTTCAATGCATTTCCTTGAGGTTTGATCCCATGTTTTCTCACTGCAGTTTTAGTTTACGTCTTCTCCTCTGGGTTTATGTCCTGGACAACGGGGGACCTTCTGGTGGTCTACATAGCCAACCCCCAACCTCTGACCTCTCATGTGAGGAACTAGGCTAATGTCTGAGCATTCCAAGTTTGAGGAGAGTGAAGTTATTTCTATCTTTGTGCCGGAGCTCTGTGTCTGAGAAATTAGCCTTTCCCCATCACCCAAACTCAACCTTGCCTCTCAATCCCTTCTACCTCCATATCTCTTCATTTCTTCTTCATCTTTGGGGCTGAAATCTCAACTTTGCTCTTTTAGCCTGGTGTACAGACCTTGAGCTGAAAGAGGCCCCATCATGGAGCAATGCATGATGGGAAATTCCCACATAGCATCCTGTAGCAACACCTGCTCTTCATTCCTGGAGGGAAAAACAGGGTAGGCATCCCCTTTCCAGAGAGATGCAGACAGGATTTCTGCCTCAGGTCCATTCTGGGATTCTATTGAAATGCCCGGGACTCTAGGATTCTAACCCCTTAGGAATCTACAAATTCTAGAATTCTATGAGGCTCAAGTTCTAGAATGTCACGAGTCCAAGATTGTACTGTTCTAGATTTCTCTCTAGATGAAAACTCTGGGGTTTTAAAATTATCTGAATTAAACCTAGGATTTAATGAGCCTAGAATGTTAACATTTTGGGACAATCCGGTGAAAATATCATCATTCTAGAATTCTATGAATCTATTGATTTTGGAAATTGAAAAATACAGGGTTCAAATAATCGGAGACTCTAGAATTCCCTGAATTAAAAGCGTGGAGGTTTTAAGAATCTGGAATGATAGCACTCTAGGATATTAAATGCGACAAATTCTAAACATTTATGAATATAACCTCCTAGAACTTCCTTGTTTCAAGATTCCGGAATGTTACAAACCACAGTATTCTAGGGCTCTGTGCATCTGTAGTTGATGAATTAGCCTGAATACGATTCTAGTGTTGCTCTATCCAGTACAACTAGTTCAAATTAAGATGTGTCATACGTGTAAATTGCACGTCCGCTTTCAAAGGCTTACCCCATAAACAGTAAACAATGACGTTCGTAGATTATTTGGTACTGATTACATGTTAAAATAATATTGAGTAAAATAATGAGTACGTAGGTAAATCCATTATCAAAATGAAATCTTGTTTTTCTTTTACTTTTTGCAACGTGTCTACTAGACACGTGAAACTTAAGTGGCTAGCGTTAGATTTCCTTGTCAGCGCTACTCTGGACTTCTAAGATTCTAGAATTCTCTGAGGCTCCTGTAGAACCCCGTGGATCCAAGACTTTAGGAGACTGAGGCTCTGGATTACCCTGGGCCAGAGTCGAAGATTCAAAGAAGAGTGTAAATTTCCAGTCTTTGACCCCTAGAACCAGATTATTTGAGACTAGAATTGGGAAAAAGTTGACTCTTGGTCATTCCGAGTTCAACTTCTGGGAGCAGAAATAGAGGCTCACCCCTCCTTGTCCACCACTCCCTCCCTCCCCTACCAGAGGCCCTTGCCCCCCTCACCTTCTCTGATCCCCGGCGCCCTCCCCAGAGCGGTCACTCACGGCCTTCGGCAGTGGGCAGCTGTGAGCAGCCAGCGGTCACTGATGAGGGTCGCCCCGCACAGTAAGCGGTAGGGGTTCCCCGTGACATAGAAGAGGCCTGCCTGCCAGGGCTGCGAGTTGGGGTGGCATTCCTGAGCCCCAATGGCTCTGGTGTCTGCCCGGCTGTTCCCTGCGGGAAGTGGAGGAGAGGGGAGGTAGAGGGAGTCAGTGAAGAGCAAGATGGAAGGGCTGGGGAGAGAAGCAGAGATGCCTAGAGGGTAGGCACAGGAGGCTGGGGTGTGCCGGGCCACGTGGAGAGGCTGCCGGGGCCCTGGAGGGTCAGCGGGATGGACAGGGTGGATGGCAGGAGCCTCACCTGCCAGCAGAGAAAGCAGAGCACAGACAAACCCCAGCTTCATGACCTCTGGGTGCCTGGGTCCTGGCGTCCGGCTCTGCTGTCCCTGCTTCTTTATGGTTAGCCATGTCATCGCCTTCCTCCTCCCTGGGGCCACCCTGTGATTAATTGGGGTTGGGAAATGTGGCTGGGGGAGGAGGAAACCCTGGGGCCTGGACTGGATGCCTGAGAAGGAGGCTTGGCAGGGGGATCCCCTGTTAGAAAGAGCTGACTGCCTGCCTGCTGGATCGGGGCTTGAGTACATGGGGTGGAGGGAGAGGGGGGGTGTGGGTAGGGGCGAGGACATAGAACCCTCCTGGGTGTTAGGACCATCAAATCTAAGATGCTATCCACACTAATAAAAGAGAAAGATGCAAATTGACCTTACCTCTCTGATGCCCACCAGCCAATCAGGAGTGACTATGCAAATTAACTCCCCATGACCTCTAGGTACAGGATCTGCATGCAGGATGGTCAGTGGCCTGATGGAGGAAGAGGGTGATGAGGAAGGTGCCTAAGGCGGGCTCTGGAGTCTTGCAGGACCCGTGACCAGGAGAGCTGCACAGAAATCAGGCTGCAGGTGGGAGAAGAACCAGGACTCAGAGGCAAGGAGCCACACCGAAGACGGGATGTGGCAAAGGTGGGGACAGAGAAAGAAATCATAGAAAGAGGGTGACAGAGACACAGAAAGATCCAGAGAGAGAGAGAGAGAGTCTCTGACTCAGACTGAAAGAAGCAGAGACCACAAAGATATCTGAGAAATACGGTCCCAACTAGGTTGACACACACTTGCCATAACCTACTCCCTTTCTCACATCCACATACCACAAGGCCCCGGGTGGCCCCCCTGCCTGGAACCAGCACTTTCCCTCTCTCTTACTGTCCTCAGATCCTGGCTACGTGCGGAGAACATTCTCTTGTTGTTCTTTTTCTCATCCATCTCCTCCCCTCAGTTGTCCTTCCCATCACCCCAATCTTGCTGCATCTCCTCCACACCTTCTCATCTGATGGGCAGCCCAGAAAGGGCCAAGCCCCAGTCTGACTCATCTCTGTTTCCCCAGAATCACCCAGTTCACACTCGGCTCCCAGGAGGTTTCAGAATATGTTAATTGAATGAGTGGATGCTTTATTTTATTTTATTTTATTTTATTTTATTTTATTTTATTAGTGGCCTGGTGCACAAAATTTGTGCACAGGGCGTGTGTGTGTGTGTGTGTGTGTGTGTGTGTGTGTGTGTGTGTAGGGGGGGGGGCGGGTGTCCCTCAGCCCAACCTGCACCCTCTTCAATCTGAGACTCCTTGTGGGATGTTTGACTACCCATTTAGGCCCAGGATCAGGTCTAAATAGGTAGTTGGACATCCCTCTCAAAATTTAGGAAGGCCAGCACTCCCAACCACTTGCCTGCCTGCCTTTTTCTGATTGCCCCTAACTCCTCCCTTGCCAGCTGGATATCCCCTAACTGTCCTCCCCATGCAGGCCTGGTTTCCTCCAACTGTCCTCCCCTGCAGGTTTGGGTCCCCCCCCCCCCCAACTGTCCTCCCCTACAGGCCTGGTTTCCCCCAACTGCCCTCCTTTCAGGCCTGGTCCCTCCCAACTGCCCTCCCCTACCGACCATCTTGTGTCCACATGGGAGCAGCCATATTTGACCACATGGGGGCAGCCATCTTGTGTGTTGGAGTGATGGTCAATTGCATATCACTCTTTTATTAGATAGTATTGTTTAAGGTATCACAATTAGTAGTACATATATCTCATTTTCTTTTTCCCCATTGACTGCCTCCCAGCCTCCCCTACTCCCTCCCTGCACTTGCCCTCCGCCTTTCCCCTGGTGTCTTGTGTCCATTGGTGTGCTTATATGCATGCATGCAAGTCCTTCAAGTTGATCTCTTCCCCCTTCCCCCAACCCTCCCCTGTCTTCCCCCTGTAGTTTGATAGTCTGTTCGATGCTTCTTTGCCTCTGCTGTATCTGTTTTTGTTCAACAGTTTATAATGTCCTTTATATTCCACAAATGATTGAGATCATGTGGTAGTTATTTTTCACTGCCTGGCTTATTTCACTTAGCATAATGCTTTCCAGTTCCATCCATGCTGTTGCCAGTGGTAAGAATGCCTTCTCTTTTTACAGCAGCATTTCTTAAGACCCTTCTTTTCCTGGGGAAACTTGAACTCATCCTTCGAGACCCAACCTAAATACCACCTCCCACAGGAAGTCTTCTGTGATTTCTCCAGGCAGAGTCCATCCCTTCCTCCCCTGAGCGCTCACCACCTCTTCCCCCGGCCACGAGCCTGATTGACAAGCTGGGTCGGGGCTCCCTTTGAATGCATCCTCACAAGGACATCACCGTCTGGAGTATGAATTCTGGACCTGGACCACCTGGATCCGAATCTCTATGCTGTCACTCATAAGATATGTGAACTTGAGCAGGTCTATGGACCTCTCTCGGCCGAGGTCGAAGGGGGATTGATTCACATGTGTGAGGACCGTATGGGCACATTGTGAGTATTACCCGCCTATGTCTGTCCATCTCCTACAGAGCCCTGTCCTGCCCCCAGGACTGCAGTGGTCTTAGCTCCCTCCCCAGACGAGCAGGTTTTGAGACCAAGGACTGAATACCCACTGTGTGCCTGAATACCCATTATGTGCTAAGAGTCAGACTAACTGCTTTAAGAACATCTTGACAGCTGCCTTTATGGACTGTTTACTCTGTACCTGGCAGTTAGGTAAGCACTGCATTTCAACGTCACAGGAAGGGCGTGGAAACTGAGGTAGAGAGTTCAAGTAATTTGCTGTGTAGTAAGTGACCCAAATGCATGCTCCCTGTCACAGGTGAACTCCTCCTTATCCCTTAAAACCCAGCGCAATGCCTCCTCCTCCTCTGAGAAGACTTCCCTGACTCCTTGGAGAAGAGACCTAGGCCCCTCCTCGGGGACCACTGTGCCTCTTTCTGTTACAGCATTGATAAATTGGTGTTATTATTATTTTTTTCATTCAACAGTGTACTGAGTGGCTTCTGTGTGCCAGGCACTGTACCAGGAGCTTAGGAAAACCACAGTGAAGCCCTAGCCGATTTGGCTCCGGGGATAGAGCAATTGGCCTGTGGACTGAAGGGTTCCAGGTTCGATTCCAGTCAAGGGCATGTACATTGGTTGTGGCCACATCCCCAGTAGAGGGTGTGCAGGAGGCAGCTGATGTATGTTTCCCTCTCATCTATGTTTCTAACTCTCTCTCCCTCTCCTTTCCTCTCTGTAAAAAATCAATAATATATATTTAAAAAAATAAAGAAATTAAAAAAAAATTGTTCCCCTACATTTCAGAGGGAGGCCCCTTTTTGGGAACTTAGCGATTAAGGTGAGGAGCATTCCCCTGGCCCCAGAGGCTGGGGTGGAGACAGGGTGAGGTCTCTTGTGTCCCAGTGGCCCCAGGAAGACAAACAAGGTACCAAATGGCTAAAAGCAGGGCCAGCCCTAATGGGTATGGCTCAGGTGATAGAGCGTTGGCCTGTGGACTGAAGGGTCCCTTCCTCTCTGTAAAAATCAATACAATATAGTTTAAAAAAAATAATAAAAGCCAGGCCAGCTCCTGCTGTCCAGGACCGACTGGTGTTGGTTGGACCCAGGTGTGGGACATAATGGAAGGGGGGGGAAGGAAATGGTTGGGAGGGTGGGAAGGTGTTTCACAGAACTTCTGAGGGGAGTGGGCCATGTGACGTTCCCATCAGCCCTGAGGAATGGGGACACCTGGGATGTGTGTGTGGGGGGGAAGGAGGGTGGAACAAATAGGATTGGGGACTACCCCTGTGCTTTTCTCTCCACAACCCAGAGTCACACACGTTGTCACCAGGACCTGTTCACGGATCGTACCGCCGCCACATGCTGTGTCATGCTTTACTGAGAATGACCATCGTGATCTACACATGGATACACACGCTGTGTCCCGGTCTCCTCACAACACGTCTATGAGGTAGGCACTTCTTTGTCTTCATGTCCCAGGTGGACACGGGAGCCCAGAGAGGTCTCTGGCTTGCCTGAGGTCACACAGCAGAGAAGCAGAGAACCTCTCAGAGGCTGGCTTCCTGGCCCCTCTCTCTCTCTCTCTCTCTCTCTCTCTCTCTCTCTCTCTCTCTCTCTCTCTCTCTCGGGCTCCCGCTTCCTGCACTCCAGCAGGGAGGAGGAGGAGGGGGAGAGAGGAGAGGATGGGTGGCAGAGCTTTGGGTGGGGCGAGGGGGGACCATCCAGCGACTGTACAGGGAGGATGTGTGAGACGGGGAAGGTGTCTCGGGTCAGGAAGGATGTGAGATGGGGAAGGAGCGGCGGGGTCAGTTGGAGCGGATGGTTTTCTCGATCCAGGAGGTGTATTTGCAGATCTGCGTGTAGACGGCCGGGTGCTGGGCAGAGCCGCAGGGGTAAACGCCCCAGGACAGGATGCCCTGCAGGGTCTCATCGCAGACCAGGGGACCCCCGGAGTCACTCTGGGGAGAGAAGAGGGAGGAGAGGTCGGATACATACACCAGTGTGAGGGAGACTGCGGTCGTGGTGGGGGAGAAAGAGGCTGGGATAGAGAGGAGGTTGGGGTGGGGCTGGCACTGGGTAGAAAGTGGGGTGGGGCCCTAGCAGGTTTGGCTCCGTGGCTGGAGCATGGGCCTGTGGACTGAAAGGTCCTGGGTTCAATTCCAGTCAAGGGCACGTGCCCGGGTTGCAGGCTTGATCCCCAGGAGGGGGCGTGCAGGAGGCAGCCGCTCAATGATTCTCTGATTCTCTCCCATCGTTGCTGTTTCTCTCTCTTCCTCTCCCTTCCTCTCTGAAATCAATATATACACTGAGTGACCACATTATGATGATCTCTGAACGCATTCTGGCCACTCAGTGTCTATCCTATATAATAAAAGGCTAATATGCCAATTGTCCCTTCGACCAGGAGTTCAACCAGCAGGCAGGCTGGCCAACCGCCCATGTCCCCTCCCCATGGCCAGGCTGGCCGGACCCCACCCATGCATAAATGCATGCACCAGGCCTATATATGTGTCTATATATATACTGAGTGGCCAGATTATTATGCGTTCAAAGATCATAATAATCTGGCCAGTCAATGTATATATATTTTTAAAAATAAAGTGGGGTGGGAAGGCGTGGCTTTGATCGTGGGCTATGGATGTTGGATCCAGAAGTGAGAATGGAGGTGTGATGGAGCTGAGATTCTAGCTCCTGACAGGGAAGGGGGTGGAGACAGAATTATAGAGAGAGATGGG